CTTGCAGATCAATATGTAGCAGACTACACAACAATCATAAAGCTTCCAGAAATAGACAACAACAGATTAATGCATATAGAAACTGGATATTAAGAGATTAATAAAGAAAACTTTATTGTAGTATGAGACATCCTCTTGAATATTAAACTTATTGAAATAAAACAAGCCTTTGCCAAATATGGTCAAATACAAGAAATCACAATGAAAATCCAAAATTTGTGACAATATGTTACAATTACTTTTGAAAACTAAGAACCCAAATACAAATTAATAAACATTAGAAGTATTTTAATTAAGGGAGACTCAGTGAGAATTAATAATACAGAATGAACACTTCAATAAATGAAACAAAGACACGAAATTGCAGCAAAACTCACAAACCTTTTTTCCAATACAACTGCATAAAATATTAAAAACATCTTTACCCAATGCAAAGGATGCACATACTACATTTCTAGATTAGTGAACAGGGACTACAAACCTAAATGTTTTATAGTTATCAGCTTTAAAAAACAAGAAAACCTGCTAACACAATATTAACCAAGGAGAAACAATACTCTTCTTCACTCCGATCTCAATAAAACTTTGTGTGATATATAATGCAACTTCTCATCTAGCTAAAGACTGTCTTACCAAAAAAATGCATCTTTAATGAAACACATATAACAAAAACCGGGTAATCAAATTTGGAGACTTCTATAATAAATTTAGACCAGAAAAAATCTTAACAATTCACAACATTAACAAACCAAGAATATTCAAAACTCTAGGGATAGGAACATACACAGCAGCAGTTTTTCAAACAACCAAATCAGAACAAGAAGACCTCACAACTTTTAAAGATATTAGCAACATTCTCAAAGAAATTCAATAGCAATTGTATATTATTAGACACTAAGTTGCAAAATTAAATAAGTATATCATTAATTTAAAATATTATTATGAAGAATACCATGAAACAATAAACAATGAACAAATACTAGCCTCACAGGATTTATCATCCATATCTCAATCCAACAACTCACAATCCACACTCGAAAACAGCTTTGAGAATTTCAAAAATATCCAAATACAATTTTTCTTCTTTATCAATGGAATGAAAGATAAGATGAATCAAATGTTTACTGCAATAGATACCATAGTCCAGACCTTAACCAAAAACAATATTGACAAACAATAAATATAATAAATACTCACAGCAACAATGATAACAATAAGAAATAACCAAATACAAATTCAACAAACAATTAATAAATCAACAATATCAATATCTCTTTCTTAACAACACAACAACTTGAAACAATTCTAACATGGTTAGATTTAGATTCATAGATTAAAATTAAAATATATAATTAATTACTAAATATTTATTTCTTTTATCAAATCTTAAAACTATATATGTTTTTATTTATACTATCTAATAGTATACAACTATATTGTTCAAATAATTCTAATTTTTGATATTCTTATAATTTATTCTCTTCTTGATACCAATGAATATAAACAAGTTTAAATGGTTTACTATTTTTGGATTTATAAAATTTGAATATCAATAATATTTAAATTAAATATTAAATTAATATAATAATTTTTATTATTTATATTAATATAATTTAAATTTAATTACTTATTAAACTATACCAATTAATTTCTTTGTTTTTGTTTTTTTCACTTATAACAACATTAGAAAAAGATGATTTTTTATGAAAATTTGATAATAAACAGATTATATTATTACTTTCCAATATTGTTGAAGAAAATATTTCATATTAATAATTTTTATTAATAAAATTAATTGATTCTTCTTCAAGAAATTTATCAAGACTTGTTATTAAGGTATTAAATCTTTTAATTTGTAACAAATCTAAATTATCTTTATTTTTCTATATAAGAAATTTAAATGTTTCAATTTTAATATTAACAAAGGTTTATGAAATCCTATAATTCATTAATATTTTTTAGAAGCTTTACTTTCTGTCACTTTCTTTTGTTTAACTAAAACAATTAATTATTTAATTTTAATAAGTAAATAAATAATAAAAATTAAAAAACAGAAATTTATAATTATACTATTTTTAATATCAGTCTTATATAATCTTTTTTATTAAATATTTGATATGGATTTTAAATATATGTTTTGTGAAGAGTTTTATTATAAAAATTATTTTTTCGATATTATTTTATTTGCTAAACTTATTAACGCTTTTCAAAAAACATACTCAAACAGAATTGCAAGGTTTTATATTTTTTTCAATATATTTTTTATTTATATTTTTTATCCTGGTACTATTTACTATACCATTCAATAAAATTTATAATTTTTTTTTATTATAAATTAGAATTAATTGTTACCTGGCAATTATTTAATTGAGATTTGTTATATTAGTCAAGTAACAGTAATAATAATCACAACAACATTTATAACAATAACAATAACTATTGCTACAATAAACAATATTATCTATATTTTACTATTAATATTAACAAAAGTAATATTTACAAGTTGCAAAGAATTAAAGAAACAAAATAATGTGTCAATTTAGGAGTTTCTGCATTCAGCTTATATTTTATAATTTATATTGTTAAAATTTCTTTTCAGTATTAGTCATCTATAGTTATATAGGCAAGCTAGCATTAAACTCATTATATAATGCATGTGAGAAATGTTTCTTTCTGAAATGTATATATCATATGTAATACAGTATATTAATAAATAAAGAAATGATATTTACCTACTTTAAAATAAATTATTTATAAATGAATTTAACAATTTAAATATTTTTAAACTTTTTAAATTTTCCAAATTATTTTTCATTTTTTCATCTATTTTTGATTTAAAATTTAAAAGTTTATTTAAAAGCTTGTATACTTATTATGTTTTTATTTACCATAAATATAATAATCAATATATTAATGTAAAATCAAAAATCAAAATACTTTAATATACAATATGCATTATCTTCAAAAGTTCAAAAGTTTATTACAAACCCTTGAACCATGTGCATTCTTATGAAGTATCAAATTTACAGATGAATAAAAATATCGCGTCAATTTATCCATAAGACAGCGCAACACTAACTCGAAAAAATAAAAGTCATCTATCACGTGGCATCAATTTAGCATCCCATGCTCTTTTAGGATTAACAAATAACGAGCACCTTCCGAACAAGTGAGATTAAAAGGTCATTAAAATCTATCATTTAATTTCTCGAGTTTGGTTAATGTTTTGATCTAGTGAAACCGCATGAGAATAGTCTCGTCCATTTTATTTAAAAATTTTGTATGTTTACGTAGAAATGTGATAAGGTGAGAAATGGCTTTTCAAGAACCATTAAGTAATGTAAAAAAGCAGAGTGACTGGATAAGAGACTAGGAGTCGTACCGCATAGCCTCAAATTAACAATTTAAAACAGCCCACCAACATGAAAGAGATCGAGGGGAATAGGGTCAGGTAGAGGGGGTGAAGGAATTATGAAGGTAGGTGGCATCCCATCATAAGGCATCTATGGAATATTGATCACGCATTGCCCCGGTACAATATCGAGTGAATTGCCTTGACGGTCAATCGTGCCGAATTCATACTGAATAGAGAACACATTAGATTAGTTCAATTCTGTGGTAAAAAAGCACGTAATAATATAAAGTACCATGATGGGAGCGAGTGCACCAACGGCTGTTCGATTATTTATACAATAATGCCAAGCCTGTTAAAGAACAAATATCATTTAAATGATGCCAATGGCAAATTCCAGAAATTATATCTTTCGATTACTTACCGTCATCTCCGTTGGGTGCATGCCTGGTATATAGTTGAAGTTAATGCCAATTGCATCGTGAGCTCTATTAGGAACAAGCCAGTATGCCTCTATCTTCCTCTTAAGTTCCGCCTCAGTTAAGGTATAAGCGACCTCTATTACAAGATTCATTCTAAGAGTACATGTCATCACCAACATTAGAGTTCTCAAAATAATACATTAGAAAGCGAATGTGATAAACTCTTCATACCCCTCCATCAGATCCACCACGGGACACTTGAGGTTTTCCTATAGGTAGAATAGACCCATCCGCCTCACAGCCTTTTTGTGGTGTTTTTGTTGCTATTAGTCAAGGATAGTGAGTAATAGAAACATACCTAAAATATATTAACATAAAAACCAACACAACACTCCACTCGTCGCGCCATATAAAATAAGATCAGAATTAGTGGACATTACTGGAGCGACTGATGTACCTAACAATTGCGTTATCCTAGCGATGCAAACCTCGTAAAACTTTGAAGAAAGTTCGATAACACGAACGGTTCCATTTTCCCATTCCCAAAGGCCCCTCACATTATATTTATCTGTTTGAAAAATATATTCATTAAGCGACACATCAGTCTTGAGTTCGTATGGTAAACTTGACGATAAATAACAACAGGCATCAGCTATTGGCTTATGAAATATCCAATCGTTGAAGAAAAAAAGATATTTACGTTGTTTCTTCCCATTTGGCTTTGGGATGTATGTTACCAGTATTCCACCAAACCTGGCGGTAACAATCTACATCTCTCACCCGACCATTACGAGAAATGGAAACCTTCGGGGTACTAGACATGACTATTTTTTGATAATAAGTAACATAATCCTGCCTTTTAAGCAAATTAGGAAATCCACACACCTTTAAGTAGTTTTTTCGTTCCAATAGGTTGCCATATTGGTTAAAGATACAAGTTTTGAGAGATTACACAGACTATTTCTCAATAATCAATAGTCATGTGGCAAAAGCTTGCATGTCAGGTGTGCGGGCGTCTTATCACCCGTCAGATTATTGAGTGATTAGTTGTCACGTGTAGGATAATCGATTTTCGCTGGAAAATTTTTTATTACGTTTTGTCTTGTCTGCATATACTTTTTTTCATGTTTATTATAAAGTTTTGGCTATCCGAAATTAATTATTAAAAGCGCATACTGTATTCCGAAATTGTATTTATTATAATCGGGGACACGACATTACGTATTTTATGACGCGATATCCTCCCTTTTTGTAGCTGGAGATTGTTCGACACGCGCCCTATCCTTTAACAAACAAACTAGCAATAACACCCAATACATTTTTTCATTCTTACGTAAAGCGAGATATTCCTCCAAAATTTTTTTCAAGGCCTTCTCGGTAAATTTAATAGTAAGGGCGGTATCACTTTCTTTTGAAATTTGCCATGGACTGTATAGCAAAAATTGCCAACCACGGCCTGTTGTAACAATATCATACACATAGTCGAAATAATTTTCCTCTCGCTCTCGCTTTCTTTTGTTCGGTTTAATTTGAGCTCTCGAGTTGTTTGATATTCTAATAAAATAAAGGTATAAATAGGTTGTAACACATTTTATCATCTTTGTCCAATCTATTGGAAAGAAAAGGTATATTTATTTAGTCAATTATGGCGCTTTTATTTATTTCTTAGTCTAGAAGCGCTATTGTGTATTTCATCACCTATAAAATATTCTTGGAAATGTGCTACGTCAAAGATTACTACAAAGGCTAATGGTTGAGCCACCGATAAATGTAATGCTTTGGAAGGACTTCTTCGATGAGATGAACAAGTTTCGCTTTGACAATAAACAGACAACAAAAATTCGAGAGGTCAATACAGTATTGAATAATTATTTAATTGATTGATCAACGATCAGGATGTTCGTTATGCTACGGAAGCAAAAGTAAATACGTAACTTATACGTAGAGCAGATTGCGCATATTCAAGGCTACTAACCCTACTCCTAGCGTACTGGACATCTTGGTATTATTAATTTTGGTGGTTAAAATTATGATAAAATATGCTATATAATATATTAATGAATTGACTTTTTGCAGTTTTACAAGAAAGGTAAAAGGGAAAGTACTGTATGGTGTAAGAAACAAAATCAAACAGTCAAAAACGCGACGAGAGTCACGTGACTGATTTTAGCCAGAGTATCGCAAAACATTAACCTGTAATAATAATAGTTGATTAATAATGAACAATAATGTGGATCATTTACCTTTAAGCCTTAAAATATTCTATAGATTTCGATCTTTTTTTTTTCTTTAAATCCCCATCTATATGTTTAAAACGTGTATAAAAAGAATAAAAAAACGAGAGAATTCGGTCAAGTCAAAACCGCCTCTTTTGAGTTTTAATTGTTAAATTAAAGTGACAGTTACATGATTCTTGTTCACGGTTAGCGACAGACTCTCCGATGGCCATCACAATGGTATATAATTATATAAACCTAAATACGATATTCTTGTCACTTATGATGATCACTGGTTCATACGCCTTCAGTACTCTGGAAATATGCCTATAAACTCGTCAAGAAAAAGTGAATCATCCAATTACTATATAAGTCAGAAACAAATGCCTGGCACCTCGTGTAAACCAGGAAAATTTGGTTTCGTGAAATTCAATTTTAAGTGCATAATAGGCAAGGGATAAAGTGGTTAAACACTCCTGGTGATACGATTGATTTAAAGAGTGTGGACTTGTCAAAAAGAACTCGCGAATTACAAAGAACTTGCTGATAGTATATCCCTATATTGGTTTGTTATAACTACGGAGGGTTTAAGCTTTGTTACAGTGTTATAAGGGATTAATCGTGGCACAAGTGAGTAAACAAAGATAAAACTGTTTGAATATAATTAATGTCTTGAATTTTTTGCAGAAGTAAAACAATATTCTTAATAAAACTTTAAGTCGCTTACCTAATTAGCAAGAAACTCATTATTACATAATTATTACACGTTAACTCTCCCAAATCTCTCACCTACTTTGATAGTGTAACTGTAATCGGCGAGTCTGTCGCTAAGGAAAGTTCAGATTCGCGTAACGATGGTAAGTGTTTTATTTATGGTGAGGCGGAATTGATGTTAGCCGAAAAACTTTTCTAACTGGACTTGATTATTTTTATTTATTTGATTTCTTCCTTCTTTTATACATTCTTGCACACTTATTACATAATAAAAAGGATAAATACAAATTAAGAAAAACTATCAAAAATTCTCATCGCTATTTAATTTTCACGCTACTCTTATTACATACTGTAATTCTATTGTTCGATCCCATAGTGCCATGATCGATCCTTGCACGACCCGGTCACGTGGCAATCGTTGCGATTGTGTCGTGATCCGACTCCCTTCTAACAGTTCCCATTTTCTCAGGTTCGCGCTAGTTTTCTATCATGCTCATTGTGCTCAATACTATTGATCTTCGCACAATATCGTGTGAACCCAGAATTCAGTGTGAGGCATGTTACTTTTTCCCGTGTTACAATAGTAACACGTGACCCTTTCGCGATAATATGTTGGTACAGTACTGCGTTGAGCAAGCATAGAATAACAAACCGACAAAGGTCAAGGGTTGTTAAAGGTTAAAAGCGATTTGTGAGCATAACATTCTCCATAATGGTTACGGCAAGAGAACATCTTAGCTAACGATAACGATGATATATACCTGATTGACTTTGAGATGGCAAATCGAGCGGACGTAAAAAATGAAGAGAAAATTTTTTGAGAATGTACTGTTTGAATTATCTCATTTATTGGATAGATATATTGTTTAAGAGTTTATTGTTGCAGATTCTATGTCATATTTTGGTAATTATTTTTGAACAGGATTTTGGACTTTATAATTGTAATCTTAAAATTTGCATTGTATATGTTGTGAATGGGAAAGGTATAATGAGGGATGGACGCGTAACACGATTCGCGCGTCGCGTGTCTAAAACCCAGATATGT